GCCCTGGTGCTGGCAACACCTCCTAGAGAAATTAGCACCTTACACTTCATTAGGAGCCCCCTAACGAGGCCGTTAATGAGGATGCTAAGTGGGCACACCTAGCCTGACACCTCTCCCACCCCCACGCCCAGCGTACCCTGTGCCACCAAGGTCCTGTCCTGTCGGGCCTCCTGAGGATGTGGGTCGGGCCTCAGGGTCTGGCCTGCATCGGGGGAAACGCCTCCAACTCTGGGAGGCTGCCTGGGCCACAGGTCCACAGAGCGGCCGCCTCCCTGGGCAGTGTGGTCATCTAGGGCACAGGTCTGCTGCTCGCTATTGAGTTTCACTTCGACCATTCCCTGGGCATCACAGAAGCGGGCAGGGATCAAGTGACCACGTAAAAGGAGCTCTTTCCCAGGGGAGGTCAGCAGAGTTCCCGCATGTGACAGGAAGGGCCGACATCCCCTGCCCCAACAGAGCACGGGTGGAGGTTGGTGTGTGCCACCCCCCACCGTGGCCCTCCTCTCCTGCGCCCAATGAGGGGGTGTCAGTGCTCTTCAAAGTGGGTTTCTGGGGACTCTCAGGAATCCCCAGATGAGGGGAGGTAGTCATAGCAGGCTGGGGCTGGCAGGTGATGCCAGGCAGAGCAGCCTTCAGCTGTTCTACACGTTGGATTCCTTGTAACATCGTGTTTGAACTAAACAGTTTCCGAGCTCAAAAATGTTTGAGAGATACCGGACAGGATGACCTCTTGGGTCCATTCTGGCCTTGACTTTTGGAGTTCTACCTGCTGTTCCGGTTCAGGTTGGCTGAGGCGAGAACCTTGGAGCTCTGGGCCGGAGCCCCCAGCTAGTTCAGGCATCATACATGTCTTCTGCCCTGGCCCGAGCCACAAGGGCGAAGGGGTCACAGAAAACATGAAGCCAGGAGTTCGGAGACCGGGGCCCATAGCTGACTCTTTTGTCCCTCAGGCCACCCAACTCCCTCCCACCTCCCTGGGCATGACAGAGCTGGACCTAAGCACAAGTGACCACAGACCTCCAAGAAGGGGGTTCCCGCATGTGACCTCCAGAGGCCCTCGGCTACTGGGTGGAGGACAGTACAGACCCAGCTCTGGTCCCAGTGCCTCTGTTCACTCACATGTCCACAGAGCCACGACCTCCCAAGTACAATGCAGAGGCTGCTTCCCAGGATGAATCAACTACTGCTTCCTCGTCTAGAAAGCGGGATAGTGATGACCGTGGGGCTGCTGTGAGGACAAAGTGGGTTCCAAGCTGTCGAGTGCTGAGAGCTGGGGTGGGGGGGCGCTCAGAGCATTAGCTCCAAGTACACACAGTTCACAATTTTAATTAAATAAACCCCCTCCTCAAAAGCATACTATGGCTCCTAAATGCCTTTTACATAAGATTAAAACTCCCAGCCATTGGCAGCAAAGCTCTCCAGCAATCACTGCCCTCCTCCGTCCCCGCCAGCGGGCTAGTCCACTTCCCATCTAGTCTCCCACCTGTTCACCCAGAGCGAGACTGGGCCCGGGGCTTCCTCCTCTCCAGGTGGCCCGCTCGCTCCAGGGGCTCCTCCCAGGCGCAGCTCGGGCCAGTGGGCCTTAAACTCCCACCCTGGTTGATCAGCCTCCTTTCCTGAGGACTCCTGGTACACCTGCCTCGCCTGTTACGTGGAGGCCCCCAAGGAGAAAGGCCAGGGTGGGTGGGGGTAGGAACAGAGATTGAAAATGAGGGGAACTCAGGAGGGGAGCCCAGGCCTCCATGATGGAGATGACCCCACCGGGCACCTGATAAACATCAACCTCGGCCTGTTGGGGCCTGGATGGGGCTGAGGGAGAGGGTAGATGAAAGCTTGACCTTGGACTCCTACCCAGAGGACTCACCCTCATGGCTCAGGGCCCCGGCCTTGTCACACTATCATTTCTGTTACCTCTGCTTTCTGGCCTACTCCCTGGATATGGCAGGACGTGGAGCTGAGGCCACGTGCCTGGCACAACCCTGGTGACCACGGGTTGGGACTGCTGCCCTCCAGACCCGTGCTGCGCTCCGCTACCACTTAACAGGGACACGGCAGCGTGGTAACAGGCATTTGGCTGGGCCTCCCCAGTCAACCTAGGGCAGGTGCCCGTGGCCCCATTAAGTGCCTGCTGGTAGCAGGCATGAAGCAGGCCTTTTGCTGACCCCTGCCAGCCCCAGGGAGGTCGACAAAGTTGCTGGTGACTCTGGGGAATGAACCTTTCAACAAGATCAGACAGTGCCGTCAAGACACCAGCAGGGCCGTGCGCTGAGTGCTAATGGGGTACCCACCTGGGACAGGGGACACACACGGTCCTGGCCAGACTGCCTGAGGCAGCGGCGCCTGCCAGGCAGAAAGTGGCACCTGCTCTCCTCTGGGGCTTGGAGAGGCAGGGTGAGAGCACCTGCCCTCCCCACAGGCCCAGCCCTTCACTGCTGGTCCCAGGCAGGCTCTGGAGCGGGGAGGGGTGTGAGGGAGCCAGTGAGGGCTCGGGGACCTGAGGGGGACGGCCTGCACCATAGCTCCTGCTGACTTCGCCACCCTCGGCAGCCTCTGGCTGCTATAAATACCACTCCTGCCTCCGGATGTTGCAGGAGGTGTCTGTCCTAGAATTGTGAGCTCTGGGGCCTTCTGGGTGCCCCTCCTTGCCAATGTCAGACAGAGCCTGCCTGACCAGCACATCTTTGCGGCCTGTGAGCCCATCTCCACCGGGCAGGGCCTTGGGCAGGCAAACCCAAGCACTGAGGGTGACAGCCGCAGCTTCCAGACCCTGACTCTTCCATGACCCTGGGTCTCCTACAACTGGCGATTCTACCAGCTTCATGGCAAGTGACGAGGATGCTGAGTCCCTGGAGAGCAAAGACCTGGCCAGCCTGCAGGGGACATACAGCCAAGGCTGCTGGCTCAGCCTAGACCACCTCCCTCAAGTTCAGGGGCAAATTCTCCAAAGCCATTCGATCCCCCTCCCCCAGCTTCTCTGTCCCACTGTCCCTCCAACTCGACCTGGTTTCCAAATTTATCATCTCCGGGGCAGCCTCCCTGGGATGCACTCTACTTTGACGGGCTCAGTTAGAATGTTAGGCAGCTGTTCACTCTTCCATTAGTAGCATGCTTCTTAGACAGAGCCCTTGCCTCCTCGAGAGACCCAGGTAGGCCCAGGCCCCAAGGCCCAGGCTGGTCTGACCCAGGAGCACAGGACAGGAGGTGCCTGGGGCCCGGCAGAGTGAGGATACCAACCCTCACACATGGCCAGGGCTTGGTGCCAAGCTCCCTGGCTTAGGGCAGGGCCAGGATCTGAGAGGAGAAAAGACTGAAAATGGCTCTGGGGTGGGCACTAGACGGTGCGAACCCAGGGGAAGTCCAGTTAAAATTAATTCACGCGTGGAGCCATTTCCATCCATCCAATAAATGATCAGAGTGCCAACTATGTGCCAGGGGCCCTGGCAATAAATAAAAGACATAAATAAAATAAATAAAAGAGCTTAGAGGCCCGAAGGAAAGAGAGGCTTTAAGCTAATTTTCAGAGACAACGACGAAAAATCCTGTGACGTGTGCTTGGAAAGGGTGAGGGTCTCAGCAGAGCCTGAGTAGGGAGGTGAGGGGCAGCTGCCCAGAGAATGGGGAGCTGAGGCTGAGACCCAAAGGATAAGCTGGAATAAAGAGGCCACGGGGAGAGGGCAGCGAGGGACCACGTGGAAGGGGCCCCTCGGCGCGAGGGCCCAGGTGTGAGGACCACGGAGGACGGAGCCGAGACCAGGGCTGAGGCGGAAAGGCTGGCGGGGCCGTGGGAGCCAGGCCTGGAGTCTGAGCTTCATCCTGAGACCAGTGGGAAACTAGGGGCCAAGGCGGACACCAGAGCGGGGAACAGTGGGGGCCCAGACTGAGATTCAGCAGACAGCGGTGACGGATGGGACAGGGAAGTAAGGGAGAGGGTGCTGTCTGTGACGTTCTGGTCTACGGGCCCACGCAAATGGACAGGCAGAGGGGGCAGTACTGGCATCTGCCCTGGTGCCCTGGTGCCCTGGTGCCCAGGGGCCATCACGCTCCTGGAGCACTTCCTGCCGGCAGGGCAGGAAGGGCATTGCCCTGGTTCCCCCGGCCCTGGAGGAACACCATGAGAACGGAGGACCGTGGCAGCCCATCTGCCCCAACGGCGATGCGCTGCCCAGAGTTTCGGTTCACCCCGTCCTGCCCTCTGGTGTGCAGCAGGCCAGGGCATTGGGCTGGCAGGCAGCCACGCGCGGTGGTCCCTGGGCTCTGCTCCCACAACCGAGGGGTCCTCTAATGAGCTGGAGGCTGGAGGCATTTCCCCAGAACATTCAACTCCTTATGCTTCCTGCCATCTGGCTCTGACCGCGAATATGACCACATGGAGGGCACCTGAACCCCAGGCGGCGGAGATCTCAGAGCTGATGCAACCCATGGCGATGCAGGCTTGGAGAGAAGAGGTCTCTGTCTGCTCGTCGCCCCTCCCCCATTTCCAATCACTCCACAAAGCTTGCCACACAACACGCCCCCCCTCTGCCAACTCGGGGGCCTCATCTCCTCCATGCTGCCCTGGCTTACCAGCCTCTGGCATTGCGCCCCTCAAACAGCCCAGCGGGTCCTGTCCTAACACTCAAACACTCAGGCCTCCCTCAGACATGTCCGTCACCTCCATCTCTGCGTAGCTGGCTCTCTCCTGTCACTCATTTCCTGGCTCAAATGCAGCTCCTCCGAGCTGACCTGCCACCTCGCCCTCAGGTCCCCCAGCCCCTCTCCATCAGAACACTCTCTGGCTTGATTGTTTGTCAATATATTTACTAGCCCCCCCCCGGGTGTGGCTCCCAGCGCAGGGGTCCCCGCCTGTCTACTTCCCTGCTGTGTCCCCAGCACCCAGCAAAGGGCCTGGTAGGTGGCAGGAGCCCATCAGCTCCTGCTGCCTGAGGAGGAGCCATGTGTCTGAGCCCGGCCTCTGACTCCTGCCTCTGACTCCTGGTCCTGAGCTCATCCCACCCACCCGCTGGCCCCATGCCCGACCCAAGCTCCAGCCCGCTCTGCTCTCCAGCAGCAAGCATCACATACGGGGGGGCTTTGCTGGCGCCCGACCACCGTGCTGTGGGCGAGGCAGGGGGGAAGCAGGGCATCGTCACTTCACTGAGGCGGAAACTATGGCAGGGAGCGGGTGTTGGGTGATTTGCCTGAGGCGACACAGTGAGCGACAGAGCCAGGTCCGTGACCGGTTATCCGGGGAGGTCCTGTGCCTGAGGGGATCTGCGGCACCCATAAGCCTGTTTCGGTCACCGCCCAGCCCCACGCCCCGGCTGCCCGCTGCCCTGCGTGTCTGCGGGAGGGTGGCTGGTGGCATCCACCTCTGAAAAGTGCACAGCTGAAGCGGGGGGTGGGGGGGGCGGCCATGGGGACGGCAGAGGGCGGTGCTCTCAGGGGGCAGCCCGGCCCTCACGCCCTCTCCCAGTGCCGGGGCGAGCCCCACAGCTTGGGCTGTGAGGGGTCTCAGCGCGGACCCACAGCCCAGCTGCCAGGGAGAAAAGGGAGGACCTGGGGAGATGACTTCCCGTCAGAGCCTCGGAGTCCGCGTCCGAAAACGCGGGGCTCAGCCAGACGGCGTCCAGCTTCCCTGGGATTCACTTTCTTATTCCCTCGGAATGTGTGATTTCTAAGGGTCTGCATCTCGGCCTCGGGAATTTGCCATGAAGTCTCAGTCACACTGACGCCACCACCTCACAGCCACCCTGGGAGGTAGATGGGCAGGAAACTGCCCAGCGTTTTAAAGGCATCAATTTATGAAGTCAGCCAGAACCAAGTTCAAAACCTAACCCGTCACTGACTTGCCAGGGGCCTTGGGGAGTCTCTAAGCCTTGGTTCCTCTCCAGACAATGGAGACAGGAACAGTCTCACTGCCTCCTGCGCTGCTGGGGAAGGGAGGGGACTTGGTAAAGGGCCTGTCCTCTAGGTCCTCCCTCCCAGTGATCCTGACGTGATCTCTGCCAACTACCTAGGAATGTGGGGAGAACAAACAAGATATAGCAGCGGCTTCTGAGAAGGAATGCACTACAAAAAACCTCGGGAATAGGATCACTTCCCTCGAAACAGAGCCCTGGGCTTCCACAGCCCCACCCTGGGGGGCCTCATCCGATTCTCCCAGCCTCCTCCCTCCTCCTGGCCCACCTGCAGAGTCAGGGACCAGAGCAGAGCAGGGGGCCCCGAGAGGCGTGCCCCCACCCTGGGATCTCCCTGACCAGGGCGGAGGGCTGAGGGGGCCGGACAGTGAGCGGCTGGTTTCCAGACCTGAGACCCGCTCCCTGGCGCCCACTCTGCCGGGGCTTCCTCTCAGCGAGCCGGGCCTCGGAGGACGCATGAGATCATGTCTGGGAATTGCTCAGAGCTCCTCGGAGAGAAGAGGCCCGAGGGACCCTAGGCGGGATCAATTATGAACCGACGTGCTCATTTATAAGCACCTCGGTTTGCTGCGGGGCAGAGGAGGAATGTGTGGGCTTGGTGTCGGGGAGCTCAGGCTTCGCACTGGGCTTGACCACTAACAGGTGTGGACAAACCACAACCTCTCGGAGCCCTGACACCCGTAAAAGTGGATAAATAGCAGCTGAGCGAGGCTAGAGAAAGAGCGACAGCAGCGTCCTTACCTGCACATGGGGTCGCGAGGGCGCCGGCCTCACGGCCTCGCGGTGAGGGGCAGTGGCTGCGTGCCTGGCACGGGTGAGGGGCAGTGGCTGCGTGCCTGGCACGGGTCGTCATTGCTATTGGGGAGTAGAGAGCAGTGGGACCAAAGGCCTGAGGATGGAGTTAGCTGCGATGCTGCCCAGGCTTGCAGGCTCTGTGTCTGTCCCCACACCTGCACCTACCCCTGACTGACACAGGAGAGAGGACTGTGGGGCCTGGTGGCCACGGTGACTTGAACAAGTTACAACCCTCAGGAGACCAGCACTCCCTTCTTCCACATCGGTCCTACGCCCGACTAAGAGGCGGTGGCGGAACCTGGGCTCCCCACAGCCAGGAGCCGAAGGTCACCTCACCAGGCCAGGCTGCGTCCCCAGCACATGGCTGGCCCCCCAAGGGCCAGCAGGGGTGTGGCCAGGGAACCTCCTGCAGCTGCACCCACTTGGGAGGGTGCCCCGAGGCTGAGTGGTGACACTCCCCAGGCTGCCGCCTCTTTGTAGAGCTCTGCCTGTGGAGGGCACAGCGCGCCCTTTTGGTGGTGGCCTGCTCATCCTCACAGCTTAGCTGACAGGTAGCGAGTAGGGGAGATGAAGAGACCACGGGCCAGGGCAGTGGTTTGCTAAAGACCACAGTGCAAAGCAGGGTGGACATGCTGACGAGGTGCCGAGAGTCCTCACCGTCACAGGACTAGAACCACTCAGAGAGGCTGGCCACAGTGGGGCTGCAGGGAAGGCGGCGCTGGCCCCCTGCCCAGCTAACGCAGGCCTCTCCCTGAGGTGCCAGCTGTGGGGTAAAGAGGGCTCTCTCTTTCCTGGGACGCCAGGTCCACGGGGCCTCTGTTGACCTAAGCAGTTCCTATCAGCCCTGAGGACCAGGCCAATGACTGCCCACGTGGCAGAGAACGCCGTGAGACCAGGAAGAGGATGCTGGAAGGCCTCTCTCAGGGGCCGGAGAACTCGTCAGGTTCCTGGGGCTGATCCCCCTGAAAGGGGGTGAAGGGAAGGGCGGGCAAGCTCTCCTCGCTGGGAGGGAGGGTCAGGGCCATGACAGGTCCGGGAAAGAAAGAGACAGATGTGCCTGTGAAGGACGCTCTTGGCTTCGGCCATGTGCTCTCCTTCCTCTGGCCACACAGAAGTCCCACGGACGCTGCCCCTTGCCCCACAGCCCAGGGCTAGTTCCCGACACGAGGACTCTGGTGACTCTCTTGCTGTTTGCCGACTGTTCACTGCTGCCTGGCGTGCCAGGCATGCCAGGCCCGGCCCTGCAGAGTCACATGTCCTGTGCGGGCGAGGGGCCTGGCACTGCGGGGGCAGCATTGGGTACCGTGGGGTGGGGCACTCACGGGCGGGGCAGCCCTCCAGGGATGCAGAGAAGCTGGAAGCCTGGAAGCAGCGGGCTGCCCCTTCTTCCCGGTGTGCAGGTCCTTGGGCAAACAGTGAGCCAGGTGGGAGTGAGCGCACAGTGAACGCTGGGCTGGGAAAAGCAAACACCGCGGGCCACGGCTCTGCCAGGCTGCTGACCTACAGGACGGCACTCAGCGGCTCGGGGGGGCCTTGTCTGTAGCCGCCGGGGCCCTTCAGGGTGAATGACCTGGCCATCCCCTCCTATTTTCCCCCACCCCACCCAAAGGAGCATAAGGTGGGGGGGAGGCAGAGACAGGAAGGAATGGGTAGGACATGAGTGCACAGGAAGCTGGGCTTCCGAGGCCTGGGTGCCACCCCCACCCTGCATGGAGAGCCTCTGTGTGGACAGGGTACAGCAGCTCAGCAGGAGACGTGCTGGGGAGGGTCAGGCAGACCTGGGCCTGGAGCTTCTGCTTGGCCATGTCCTAGCTGGGTGACCCTGAACAAGTCTTGGGACCTTGGGGCCAGTGATGCGCACGTGCACGGCCCTTCTGAAGGTTAATGGGATGAGGCCCGTATGGGAACACTTAGCACAGAGTTTGACACAGATGACAGTCTCGGTACGCGGATGCTCGGCCCAGTTGCCACATGGATGTGGGGTGGAACCAGGGCAGGTCACAAAACAGGGTAGCACTGAGTCTGAGCACCACACTCTCGGAAGGCATGCGCCCTCACTCGGGGGCTCCATGGTCTCCCAGCCTCAGTCCGGGGGGAGACTTCTGACCTGTAGCTGCACCAGCAGGGGCTATTGGGGCTGTTCTTGCTGACCCCAAACTTAAGGCAACCATGGGCCAGGTCCTAGAGTTCCTCCAGCTGAGAAAAGTCCCCTATGAAAGAGCTTCTGCTTCAGGCTGGCCCCGCCCCACAGGAGGCCAGAGAAGCGCTGTGTCTTCCTTGCAGACGCCCCCCCTGGGGGTGATTAGCACACGCTGATGAGGCAGCTTGGCCTTTGCGGGCTGTACTACTCGCCACGTCACAGACGATGCTCTGCGGGGTCAAAGCTCTTCATGCCTCGGCGCCTTTGCACAGGAAGCCCTTCCCGAATGCTCTCCTGGGAACTCCTCAGCCTTCTACGCCTTAGCCGACACGCCACCTCCCCTGCGAAGCCTCCAGGAGCCCGCCCACCCCGAGGCAGACCTGATCCATGCTCCTTCATTCCTGCCCCAGGTACCCTGGTTCCCCACTGGGCTGGGAGCTCCCGGCGGGCAGGGCTGCACCCTCCGCCTGTGTCCCTGGCAGTCGGCACACCACCTGGTGCCTAGCAGCTGCTCGAGAAATGTCAGACCAGGCCCTGGGACCAGCTCCCTTGCTCCCCTGAGATCACGCTGCAGGCCCGTTTGGCCAAGGACACTCAGACGCGTGTGGGAGCTGGGCAGGCCTGAGCCTCCCTGACGAGGGAAGTGGGAATCCAGGTCTCCTCTCCCTTGCAAACTGCCCACAACCTGAGCTCCAAGTTTTGCCAGCCACAGGTGGCTTTGGGGGGGCCTGCCGACTGCCTCCCCATCTAGAGAGCAGAGACAAAAGTTGACAGGAGGGGTAAGCAAGCGGAAGGGAAGTGCGCCCGGGACTGCAGGGAGAAGGGGAGTTGTGGCTGCCATCTGCTGCGAGCGAGCGAGATGTTTGGAGAACACGCACTCCTCGGCTCTGAGGTCTCCCAGCCGGCTTGTGGAGGGTGGGCCGCCCCTCTGCAGATGGGAGCCGGCGGCTCAGCCAAGCCTGAGAGTCAGGGCCCGCTCCTGCCCACCTAGACCCTCTGTGCCCCCGTCTGACCTCCTGCTTCTCGCGCAGGCCTGGAGCCAGGATGCCAGCCTAGGACGCGAGCCGCACTGCCTCTTCCGGGAAGCCCCCCACAGGCTCTGGGAGCCAACTCCACAATCATGATGACGCAAACATAATGGTAATAAAGGTAACCAAGGACCTGCCAGAAGGCCCCATACTGGCCATTGTCTCCCTTCACCCCATCACCCCAGGGAGAAGGGAGGAGAAAATGGAGAGTCCAAGAGGGGACCCCCACCTCTCACTGCAGAGGCACCTGGCCACCTAGGCCCATCAGGAGGAGGTCCTGGGGTCCTCCTTCGTTCTCTAAAGCTGAAGACTTAATAAACAGCAGGAGAGCATCTGGGCCACTGAGTCACACATGCTCATTGTAGGGCGGAAAGTGAAGGCCAAGGATGCAGAGACCTGCCCCAGGCCACACTGAGGTCAGCAGCAGGCCCAGAGCAGAAGCCGGAACTCTGGCCCTAGACCGAGCTCCTGGGGAGCCCTGAAGGCCCCTCTGCAGGGCTACCCTCCATCCTTTAAAGACAGCTGCCCTTGGAGGCTTGAGGGGTGCATTCCATCCCCTGGGCCACACCTGTTTATGCCGCCCCCTCAGGCTGCGGCCAGTCAGCCTCGGTGATCCTGACCACAGCAGTGTGCCAAGCTGAAAGCAGGGTAGGGAGATCCTGCCTTCTTGGCCGTACCCCCAGCCCTGTCACTCAGGAGGCTGGGCCCACAGGTCACATTCCTTCCCAGGCTGCCCTGCCCTGCTCATGGAGGGATCAGTGTGGCCAACGGGGCCAGACATGCTTTTGGGGGGCGGGAAGGGGGTTAGGCAGCCTCCCGATCAGAGACATTGGAGCTGCCCCATGGCACCTGGCCAACAGAAACCGCGGCATTTCTCACCAGGCCAAGAGGGTGGGTAGGGGGCTGAAAAGTCTGCCTGCCAAGACCGAGGCGGGCCAGGATTCCAAATGTCACCCCTGAACTTCAGCCCGGGCAGCCTGGGCCCCAGGGGCTGCCGTTCCCTGCCATTTCAGCCTGGAGAAGTCGGGGCAGCTCCCCCTCCCTCTGGCAACAGGAAAGCAGGGGCTCTGGGGCAATCACCCAGAACTGTACCATCCCCCCACCCCCCACCCAGCTCTCCCCACGCGCCTCTGCTGCCGCCGCCTCCACAGGCCTGCTTGCAAGCGTGCACTCCACATTTCTGTCTGCTCACCCTCCCCCAGCCCCCCACACACGGTTAACTGGGACACCTCCACCCTGCTGCCTGCTCAGCTGAGGGTGGCATGGGCGCCTGGGGCCGGGAGGGCCCCAAGATGTGCTCCAGGCCCCCAAACGGCATACAGACATTCGGGTATGTTCTTCCAGGGGGAGAGCCTACAGTTTTCCCTTTCCCCGAGGGTCCTTGGCTCCTGGCTGGGTCACTGTGCTGGCCCCACTTCCTGCCTCTTGCAGTCCCCGACTGGGCTGCCCTGTCTGTGGATCAAGGAGTCAATGGCTGCTCTGTTCTCTGGAGGGAGGGAAGGCATTTCGCCCTGGGTGGGGGGAGGGGGTGTCTTGCAGGGAGGCAGGGAGCAGCCTCACTGTGCTCAGGACCCTGAAGGCCTCTCTGCCTCCCCTGGGTTGGGAAGTGGATGTGCTCTGCTGGATCAAGAGCTGGGGTCTCTGGAGGGGGCGGGCAGGAAGCGGGGAGGCAGCAGGGGTGGGGGGGTGGGGGGGTGGAGCTGAGAGGTCCATAGAGGACCTGTCCACAGCCAGCCTGAGTCTTCTTGGTTCCCTTCCGGGTTCTTGAGACTCCTTTTGTGTGAGTCGCTGTCACCACTCAGACACCTTCCCAGACAACTCCTGCCTCAGCGGAGGCACAGCCAGGCCAGGGTGAGTCAGCGAGGGAAATCCCTGTGCTGGCGCCCGCCGCTGGGTGACAGTTCTGCTGACACCTACGGAGTGGGGCACCCAGCCCCTCCCAGAGAGGGTGAGAGGAACACCCAAGCTCCCTCACCCCCATCTTCTGCTCTCCGAGAGGGGAGCCTGGCTGAGGGGGTGTGGGGAGGCCTAGGAGAGGCTGCGGTCCGGGGCCCAGGCCCTGCTTCTGTGGCCTCTTTGGGGCCTCTGGTCCCTTGTCCTTGTCAGTAGGGGAGGAGGAGGGAGAATGTCTGCCATGGCCCCTGTCAGCTCCTGCCCAGTACCTGCCAGCCCAGCCATCGGGTGCTATGCTTCCCAGAGCCTCAGTCACTTGGGGGCCTCATGGGGCGGGTTGTAGACACCCCACCTTGTTTCTGAGGGATCCCTGGCCTGTCTCCTACCCAGGCACCCCCGCTACATGCCGCCCTGGCCACCAGAAAGGGCTGAATCAAGGTCCTCCCCAGGAGAAGAGAGGCGGGGCAAAGGGGAACCAAGGCCAGGAGGGAACCAGCCCCAAAGCGTGAAAGGGGGCGGAAAGGACAGGCACAAAGGCTGCTCCCAGCAGGACATCCTGTCCCTCGAAAAACCCAGCCAGGTGCCCACAAACCCGCTAGACCGGTTGGCAGTTAGCAGCACTTCACTGCTGCGGGCTATCTGAGGGTGCAGGGGAGGGGGCCTGAGAGAGCCTGACTGTGGCAGCTGCCAGCTGGTCTGTCCTGTGGGACACTGGCCAGCGCCTCCCTGCTGGATGCCACCCACCCCATTACCGCGTTCCCTTCCAGCCTGACTCCTGCCCAAGCAGGGCCACCTTCTCAGAGCAGGCGAAACGAGTGAGTCGGGGGATGTTCTGAGCACACTCCGCCCTCCAGTGGGCTCCGAGACTGCAGGGAGGGGCAGACCCAGGGTCCAGAAGTCCCACTCAATGGGACCTTATGGACGACCTCCTGGGGATGTGAACGTGAAGGTGCCAAGCCCCATCCTGGAGGAGCTCACAGTGCATTACAACAATGAAACCCACACTCTGGCCACCAACTACAGAGCTACGATGCCGGGGGCCCCACAGAGGGGACAGGTGCTTAGCCCCAGGCAGACAGGAGCTTCTTGGAGGGCACTGACAGCTGAGCGGCGGTTCACCCCCAGGCAGAAAAGCGGGGAAGGCAACGCTCACTTGTTCTTCTCTCCCCACAACTCCCGTTCCTTCACGGAAGCCTCTCAGAACCCCAGAGGCAAGTGCACCGCGGGCATGGACCTGATGCCGGCCGCACGGAGGCCTGCCCCCTCGCCTCTGCCTTCCCAGGGCTCCCCCACAACTCCCGTTCCTTCACAGAAGCCTCTCAGAACCCCGGAGGCAAGTGCACCGTGGGCATGGACCTGATGCCGGCCGGCTGCATGGAGGCCTGCCCCCTCGCCTCTGCCTTCCCAGGGCTCTGTGCTGAGCACCGTCATCACCCCCCCCACCACCACCACCACTCCTGCCTCGGGGTGGCTGGCAACAAGGGTTCCTGTGGGCTCCCGGGGCCAGAAACAAACACACTCGTGAGTGTACAGAGGGCTGTCGGGCTGCCTCCTTGGGAGCACAGGAAGACACATGCTTGGTGTTACCTGGGAGGTACCCAGAGCCCCTCCACAGGCAGGGGAGACGGAAGCTCAAGTTCAGGTCGCCTCAGTCCCCAGCTTTGATTTTCCTCTCTCCATGGTTCAGGCAGGGAAGCTGGTGGTGGAAGAGACCCAGAAACCCATCCATTTCTTTGAAAGAAGATTGAAAAGATGTGACCACACAAATCCCACGGGTTTACTGAAACGGCTTTAAAACGAACGGCTTGAATGGATTTCTGCCACTCTCTCTCCCCGCTGAGCCGCTCATTGGCAAACGGCAGCTCAAAGGGCTTGGGGACTCAGGGTTGCTGGGGCCCGATGGAAATGGGGTCTCAGCCACAAAGCAGGCAGGGAGCACTGAGATAAAGGCAGCTTTGGGCAAGAAAGATGAAAAGCGTACACCTGACCGCAGGCAGCACAAAGAGCTCAGGGAGGCCAACTTCAAATCCGGGAACACGGTGCCCTCGGGCCCTCTGCTACCAGCGCTTACTCTCATTTTCCTGTTCCCGGGTCTTCCTTCCTTCCGCCCCTCCCTTCACCCTTGTCTGGAGGGCCCTGCCCTGAGCAGCTGCTTCTGCACGGTACTCTCACTGGGCAGCTGGAACAGACAGGTGGGGTCTTCTTGGGCAGCAGAAATAGCTTAGAAAACCAGGCGAGGGGGCAGAACGGGGAGGTATGTGACTCCCCAGAGATTAAAGCTGGACGGGCCCGGAGTTCAAGCCTCCCTGAGTTCCCTGAGTCTCAGAGATGAAGACCCTAAGCCCAGACAGGCACGCCGACATGCCAAGGTTACACAGCTATGGGCCCCTGCCCTGTCCTTGGCTGCGTTCTAAGCCTCATTCATTCGACCATTACTTCCCGAGCACATCCTACGTGCCCAGCCTCTGGAGCTCAGGTTTAGGTGCCTAAGTGACACCCAGACGAAAACTGTGCTATGCCTCAGCTCTCCCCTCCCCCACGCCTCCCTCTTGTGTGAAGGGGAGGAGGTACCCTGGCCAACGCCAGGGAAGACACGAAGCCGAAGCCGAGAAGTGGGGAAAACCGTGTGACGGGCTGGGGAGCACCAGGCACAGCCTGGGGGTGAGGGGGACTGTGGTAAAGGTCACCCCGGCAGGTAGGTCAAGTGAAAGCACCGTCCTGGGAGTCCGGGCCTGTCACTAGCACCTGTGACCTGAGGACCCGGGACCAGACATGCTCCTCTACGCCTACTGTTTTCTTCTTATTACAAAGTGCACGTTCTCTGCAGAAAATAGAAACTCAAAAAAAAAAAAAAAAAAAAAAAGAGAGAGAGAGAGAGAAAGAGAGAGAAAGGGAAAGAAAATAGAAAACACCATGATCCCTCTAGGAAAATTATTAACTATTAACATCTGTCTAGTCTTTCTCTTCCCTCTGTCCAAATATGGGGTCATTCCGCATCAACTGTTTCTCACTGAGCTCAGGAAGGTAAACATTGCTCTTCATTAAGCATTTTTCCCAGCCCAGTCTTCCCTCGTTACTGTAGAGTAGTCCACATGCACGGTGTACGTGAGTTTATTTGACCGGTTCTCTTCTGGTGGCCATTAGGCTGTTTCCCTCTCCTCATTAAGAAAATCCGGCAGCTGGGGTGCAGCAGCTGGGGGTACCCAGTCGGCCCATGCTCCCTCGCCCCACCCTTGCAGAGGCAAA